CAGAGAGTAGTCGTCAACAGAGTAAAGTCCGAGCAGCTACGGTGAAAAGCTCTGTTCCACAAGGCACAGTACTCGCTCCCATCTTGTTCCTCATCCTCATATCCGACATAGACAAGGATGTCAGCCACAGCACCGTGCCTTCCTTTGCAGATGACACCCGAATCTGCATGACAGTGTCTTCCATTGCAGACACTGCAAGGCTCCAGGCGGACATCAACCGAATCTTTCAGTGGGCTGCAGAAAACAATATGAAGTTCAACGATGAGAAATTTCAATTACTCAGATATGGTAAACACGAGGAAATTAAATCTTCATCAGAGTACAAAACAAATTCTGGCCACAAAATAGAGCGAAACACCAACGTCAAAGACCTGGGAGTGATCATGTCGGAGGATCTCACCTTCAAGGACCATAACATTGTATCAATCGCATCTGCTAGAAAAATGACAGGATGGATAATGAGAACCTTCAAAACTGGGGAGGCCAAGCCCATGATGACACTCTTCAGGTCACTTGTTCTATCTAGGCTGGAATATTGCTCCACACTAACAGCACCTTTCAAGACAGGTGAAATTGCTGACCTAGAAAATGTACATAGAACCTTCACGGCGCGCATAACGGAGATAAAACACCTCAATTACTGGGACGCTTGAGGTTCCTGAACCTGTATTCCCTGGAATGCAGGCGGGAGAGATACATGATTACATACACCTGGAAAATCCTAGAGGGACTAGTACCGAACTTGCACACGAAAATCACTCACTACGAAAGCAAAAGACTTGGCAGACGATGCAACATCCCCCCAATGAAAAGCAGGGGTGTCACTAGCACGTTAAGAGACCATACAATAAGTGTCAGGGGCCCAAGACTGTTCAACTGCCTCCCAGCATACATAAGGGGGATTACCAACAGATCCCTGGCAGTCTTCAAGCTGGCACTGGACAAGCACCTAAAGTCGGTTCCTGACCAGCCGGGCTGTGGCTCGTACGTTGGTTTGCGTGCAGCCAGCAGTACCAATCTGGTTGATCAGGCTCTGATCTACCAGGAGGCCTGGTCACAGACCCTGTGGAAAATACTGTATATATTTTCCGGAAATATGGTAATTTATAGATAAATAGATGGCCTATATTGTATTTAATAAAATTTATGTGATGGAAAATGGGAAACTGAGCCTGCGCCTGCTCAGGAGGGGGCTCGCCATCTTGGTTTTGAATTTTGTACAAACGTTGGTGTAATGGGAAGAATTTTTCGTGCTCTAGAGGTTAAAATTGTGTTGACACCTCTCAAATAGGAGGCGAAATTGGTAGATGTGCATTCCTGCATAACTTGAGATATCAGACGACTGGACAAGACAGCTCCAGGAACCTCAGATAAGCTCTCTAGATTTGTGTGTAATTCTGGCCAGCATTATTTTCATAGATTTAGTTAGAGTGAGGTTTTCTGAGTATGATAAACCATACCCCCAGCCGGGATTGAACCCGCGGTCATAGAGTCTCAAAACTCCAGCCCGTCGCGTTAGCCACTAGACCAGCTAGCCACAATAAGATTCATCCAACTAGGTGGCTAATGCGACGGGCTGGAGTTTTGAGACTCTCTGACCGTGGGTTCAATCCCGGCCGGGGGTATGGTTTGTTTGCAATCGTGTCATTACGATTTCTTAAGTCCTGTTGACGGCAGTGAAGGGACTTGAGCTAGAGTTCGTCACGGCCACGCTAGCTGGAGATTCGTCTGTAAAAACTTGCATTTGTGGTCACAGTGGTGCCTGTGCTAACCTTCCTATGGTGTAGAAATATACCTAGTTGGATGAATCTTATTGTGGCTAGCTGGTCTAGTGGCTAACGCGACGGGCTGGAGTTTTGAGACTATGACCGCGGGTTCAATCCCGGCCGGGGGTATGGTTTGTTTGCAATCGTGTCATTACGATTTCTTGAGTCACTGAGTATGATACATATTAATCTCCAGTCAAACTGGTGAGTGATATTAAGATATATTTTCCTTCTGTTATGTAATTGTGTATATATATAAACATTTATTATTTTTAATATACAGTCCACAAATCTATATATTTACCAGTATTCCTGGTGATGTATATTTCATTTAATTAATAAGTCTAGAGCAACTTGTGGTTATGACAGTGGTAGGTATCGAAGGGGGAATTTTTTGCGACCTAGGTGTCCCAAATTCCTACTTGTCTATGTAACATTGATAAATAATAATTATCTTTGTTATCATTTACTGTTATGTACATAATTAGTTACATTCAGATAAATGCAATTTTTCACAGACCGGGCCGCGGGGGCGTTGACCCCCGGAACTCTCTCCAGGTAAGCTCCAGGTAAACTCACTACTGCCTTGACACACTACTGTCCCTCACTTATGTCTTGACACACTACTGTCCCTCACTTATGTCTTGACACACTACTGTCCCTCACTTATGTCTTGACACACTACTGTCCCTCACTTATGTCTTGACACACTACTGTCCCTCACTTATGTCTTGACACACTACTGTCCCTCACTTATGTCTTGACACACTACTGTCCCTCACTTATGTCTTGACACACTACTGTCCCTCACTTATGTCTTGACACACTACTGTCCCTCACTTATGTCTTGACACACTACTGTCCCTCACTTATGTCTTGACACACTACTGTCCCTCACTTATGTCTTGACACACTACTGTCCCTCACTTATGTCTTGACACACTACTGTCCCTCACTTATGTCTTGACACACTACTGTCCCTCACTTATGTCTTGACACACTACTGTCCCTCACTTATGTCTTGACACACTACTGTCCCTCACTTATGTCTTGACACACTACTGTCCCTCACTTATGTCTTGACACACTACTGTCCCTCACTTATGTCTTGACACACTACTGTCCCTCACTTATGTCTTGACACACTACTGTCCCTCACTTATGTCTTGACACACTACTGTCTCTCACTCTCTACTGCCCCTGACTCCTACTTTGACACACTACTGTCCCTCACTCACTACTGCCTTGATACACTACTGTCCCTCACTCATTACTGTCTTAACACACTACTGTCCCTCACTCACTACTGTCTTGACACAGTACTGACCCTCACTCACTACTGTCTTGACACACTACTGTCCCTCACTCACTACTGCCTTGATACACTACTGTCCCTCACTCATTACTGTCTTAACACACTACTGTCCCTCACTCACTACTGTCTTGAAACACTACTGTCCCTCACTCACTACTGTCTTGAAACACTACTATCCCTCACTCACTACTGTCTTGACACACTACTGCCCCTCACTCACTACTGTCTTGACACACTACTGCCCCTCACTCACTACTGTCTTGACACACTACTGTCCCTCACTCACTACTGTCTTGACACACTATTGTCCCTCACTCACAACCGTCTTGACACACTACTGTCTTGACACACTACTGCCCCTCACTCACTACTGCCTTGACACACTACTGACCCTCACTCACTACTGCCTTGATAAACTACTGTCCCTCACTCACTACTGCCTTGACACACTACTGTCCCTCACTCACTACTGCCTTGACACACTACTGTCCCTCACTCACTACTACCTTGACACACTACTGTCCCTCACTCACTACTGTCTTGACACACTACTGTCCCTCACTCACTACTGCCTTGACACACTACTGTCCCTCACTCACTACTGTCTTGACACACTACTGTCCCTCACTCACTACTGCCTTGACACACTACTGTCCCTCACTACTGTCTTGACACACTACTGTCCCTCACTCACTACTGCCTTGACACACTACTGTCCCTCACTCACTACTGTCTTGACACACTACTGTCCCTCACTCACTACTACCTTGACACACTACTGTCCCTCACTCACTACTGTCTTGACACACTACTGCCCCTCACTCACTACTGTCTTGACACACTACTGCCCCTCACTCACTACTGTCTTGACACACTACTGTCCCTCACTCACTACTGTCTTGACACACTATTGTCCCTCACTCACTACCGTCTTGACACACTACTGTCTTGACACACTACTGCCCCTCACTCACTACTGCCTTGACACACTACTGACCCTCACTCACTACTGCCTTGATAAACTACTGTCCCTCACTCACTACTGCCTTGACACACTACTGTCCCTCACTCACTACTGCCTTGACACACTACTGTCCCTCACTCACTACTACCTTGACACACTACTGTCCCTCACTCACTACTGTCTTGACACACTACTGTCCCTCACTCACTACTGCCTTGACACACTACTGTCCCTCACTCACTACTGTCTTGACACACTACTGTCCCTCACTCACTACTACCTTGACACACTACTGTCCCTCACTCACTACTGTCTTGACACACTACTGTCCCTCACTCACTACTGCCTTGACACACTACTGTCCCTCACTCACTACTGTCTTGACACACTACTGTCCCTCACTCACTACTACCTTGACACACTACTGTCCCTCACTCACTACTGTCTTGACACACTACTGTCCCTCACTCACTACTGCCTTGACACACTACTGTCCCTCACTCACTACTGTCTTGACACACTACTGTCCCTCACTCACTACTGCCTTGACACACTACTGTCCCTCACTCACTACTGCCTTGACACACTACTGTCCCTCACTCACTACTGCCTTGACACACTACTGTCCCTCACTCACTACTGTCTTGACACACTACTGTCCCTCACTCACTACTGTCTTGACACACTACTGTCCCTCACTCGTAGCTTGACAGTACCACTGTCTGCTTGGCAGTACCATTGTGTACTTGACAGTGCCTCCGTGGGGCTGATCCGATGAAGAGGAAGAGTACCATCAGTTCCCTGGATCAAGAGCCCCCAACACTGCTTCACAACACACCTATATCTTATTTCAACCAACGGGCCCCGCCCACATATTACCCCATCCAAAACTGCTGCATCGCCAGCCCCAAGTCCTGCCCTCTGGTGGGCAAAACATGGCATTTAACTAACCCACCTTGCGTCACACAGTTTCTCGAGGCAGTTGTCACCTTTCCAGCCCTCGTCACAGGCACAGGCATCGTTCTCACAGATACCGTGAAGACCACAGTCCAGTGAACATGATTCTGTAAGTAAGTAGCAGTCTTAGTGATGTGTGAGACTGGTAACTGAGACACGTGATACACCTAGGTGTTGGTTAGATACGTAGGTGTTGATGATACACCTAGGTGTTGGTTAGACACGTAGGTGTTGATGAGTGAGATACCTAGGTGTTGATAAGTGAGACACCTAGGTGTTGATGAGTGAGACACCTAGGTGTAGATAAGTGAGACACCTAGGTGTAGATAAGTGAGACACCTAGGTGTTGGTTAGACACCCAGGTGTTGATTATACACCTAGGTGTTGGTTAGACACCTAGGTGTTGATGATGCACCTAGGTGTTGGTTAGACACCTAGGTGTTGATACACCTAGGTGTTGGTTAGATAAGTAGGTGTTGATGATACGCCTAGATGTTGGTTAGACACGTAGGTGTTGATGAGTGAGACACCTAGGTGTTGATAAGTGAGACACCTAGGTGTCTCATAGTAAATATTAGGGTAATATTATAATCTGACAGCAGAATATAATAATAATAATAATAATAATAATAATAATAATAATAATAATAATAATAATAATAATAATAATTAGCTTGATCTACGTCAGTGCCTGATCAGCCGGGCTGTGTTCCGTACGTCGGTTGACGTACGGCCAGCAGTAACAACCTGGTTGATCAGGTGTGGTCAAGTACCGGGCCGCAGAAGCTTTGACCCCCTCCAAGTATACTCCAAGTATACTCCAAGTATACTCCAGAAGACCGGACTGACCTGCCGTTCAGTAAACATCGCATGTATATATATACACTGAGAGATGTGTATGTCAGTGTATATATACTGAGAGATGTGTATATGTCAGTGTATATACACTGAGAGGTGTATATATGTCAGTGTATATACACTGAGAGGTGTATATGTCAGTGTATATACACTGAGAGGTGTGTATATGTCAGTGTATATACACTGAGAGATGTATATGTCAGTGTATATACACTGAGAGATGTGTATGTCAGTGTATATATACTGAGAGATGTGTATATGTCAGTGTATATACACTGAGAGGTGTATATATGTCAGTGTATATACACTGAGAGGTGTGTATGTCAGTGTATATACACTGAGAGGTGTGTATATGTCAGTGTATATACACTGAGAGGTGTATATATGTCAGTGTATATACACTGAGAGATGTGTATATGTCAGTGTATATACACTGAGAGATGTATATGTTAGTGTATATACACTGAGAGGTGTATATATGTCAGTGTATATACACTGAGAGGTGTGTATGTCAGTGTATATACACTGAGAGGTGTGTATATGTCAGTATATATACACAGATGTGTATGTCAGTGTACATACACTGAGAGGTGTGTATGTCAATGTATATACACTGAGAGGTGTGTATATATCAGCGTATATACACTGAGAGGTGTGTATATGACAGTGTATATACACTGAGAGATGAGTATCTCACTGTGTGTATATATATATATATATAATATATATATATATATATATATTATAATATATATATATATATATATATATATATATATATATATATATATCAAACTTTACCAGCTTGTAAAGAAAGAAGAATGTACAGTGATTCGAACAGTGGTGCTTGTGTACGTGGACGCCAACACTATACGCTTGAAGTCTCTCCAATCTTTGAACACTAAACCGAGTTTAAAGGGGAACAGGGGAACAGACACCACACATATTGATAACTTCCTTTGTTGACAACTGTCCCTACTCCTGCCTATATAAATTTCCCTTTTCGGGCTATTTCACAGAAATAAAGCATTCCAGGATGAGTACAGTTTTTGGAATTAAATATGGGGAAAAGGATATTTTTTAGCTGTGGGAAGGAGGGCTGACGCTTTCTCTCTTCTGGGGAAAAAGAAGTTAATGTTTCGATCTCGGGCAGAGGTGGTAGAAAGCAAGCACCGGGGAGTACTACCCTCGGTCAGGTTGTAGGAAGCAAGCATCCGGGGGGTACTCCCCTCGTGTCGGTTTGGGTGGGAAACAAGCACCGGGGAGTACACCCCGTGCAGGTTGTTAGAAGAAACATCCAGGGGGGTACTACCCTCGTGTCATGGTTGGTAGGAAGCAAGCATCCAGGGAGGTACTACCCTCGTGTCATGGTTGGTAGGAAGCAAGCATCCAGGGAGGTACTACCCTCGTGTTATGGTTGGTAGGAAGCAAGCATCCAGGGAGGTACTCCCCTCTGTCGGTTGGTTTAAAAAAGCAAGCCCCAGGGTACACCCCGGGTCAGGGTTGGGTGGGAAACAAGATCCAGGGGGTATACCCTCGTGTCATGGTTGGGGTAAAGAAAGCATCCGGAGGTACACCCTCGTGTATGGTTTTTGGGGAAGAAAGGCATCCAGGGAGGTACACCCTGTGTTATGGTTGGTAAAAAGCGCATCCAGGGAGGTATACCCCTGTCGGTTGGTAGGAAGCAAGCTTTCCGGGGAAAGGGTACTCCCCTTTCGTGTTAGGTTGGTGGGAAGAAAAGCATCCAGGGATACTACCCTCGTGTCAGGGGTGGTAGAAAGCAAGCATCCGGGGAGGTATAACCCTCGTGTCAGGGTTTTGGGTGGGAAGCAAGCATCCGGGGAGGTATCCCCCGTGTCATGTTGGTAGGAAGCAAGAAACCAGGGGTACTACCCTCGTGTTATGGTTGGTAGGAAAAACACCCAGGAGGTACTACCCTCGGTCATGTTGGTGGGAAGAACATCCAGGGAGGTACTCCCCTTCGTTTTTAGGGTTGGTAGGAAGCAAGCATCCAGGGAGGTACTACCCTCGTGTCATGGTTGGTAGAAAGCAAGCATCCAGGGAGGTACTACCCTCGTGTCATGGTTGGTAGGAAGCAAGCACCAGGGGGGGTATACCCTGGTTATGGGGAAGGAACAACATCCAGGAGGTACTCCCCCGTTTATGGTTGGTAAAAGAAGCATCAGGGGGGGTACTACCCTCTTGTCATGGTTGGTAGGAAACGCCCCCGGGGGTACTACCCTCGTGCAGGGTTTGGGTGGGGGAAGAAAGCATCCGGGAGGTACTACCCTCGGTTAGGGTTTGGTAGGAAGCAACATCCAAAGGGGAGGAAACTTCCCCCCTGCATGTTGGTAGGAAGCAAGCATCCAGGGAGGTACTACCCTCGTGTTATGGTTGGTAGGAAGCAAGCATCCAGGGAGGTACTACCCTCGTGTCATGGTTGGTAGAAAGCAAGCATCCAGGGAGGTACTACCCTCGTGTCATGGTTGGTAGAAAGCAAGCATCCAGGGAGGTACACCCTGTTTCCCTGGTTGGTAAAAAAAAGCACCAGGAGGTAACCTCGTGTCAGGTTGGGTAGGAAAGCAAGCATCCGGGGAATCTACCCTCGTGTCATGGTTGGTAGAAAGCAACACCAGGGGGGTACTCCCCGTGTCATTTTGGGTAGAAAGAACCCATCCGGGGGGAAATACAAACCCCGTTCATGGTTGGTGGGGGAAGCTCCAGGGAGGTACCCCCCCGTGTCAAGGGTTGGGAAAGGGAACAAGATCCATGAGGTACACCTCGTGTCAGGTTGGGTAGAAAGCAAGCACCAGGAGGTACTCCCCCTCGTGTTATGGTTGGTAAAAGCAAGCTCCAGGATTTACAAACCCTTTTTTTTTTTGGAGGGTTGGAAAGCACCCCAGGGAGGTATACCCCGGTTTAGGGTTTGGGTAGGAAGTATCCGGGAGGTACTACCCTGGCGGTTGGTAGGAAGCAAGCAAAAAGGGGGTTTTCCTACCCTTTTTCATGGTTTGGTAGGAAGCAAGCACCGGGAGGTATACCCTCGTGTCAGGTTGGTGGGAGCGGGCACCCAAGGTACTACCCTGGGGGTCTGGGGGTATAAGCAACCCGGGAGGACACCCTCGTGTCATGGTTGGTAGGAACAAGCTTTCAGGGGGTACTCCCCTCGTGTCAGGGTTGGGGAAGCAGCATCCAGGAGGTATCCCCTCGGTCAGGGTTTGGGTAGAAGAAGCCCCGGGGGGTTTCCCCCCCTGTGTATGGTTGAGAAAAGCACCCCAGGGAGGTACCCCTCGTTCAGGGTTGGTAGGAAAAAGCGTCAGGGGGGTACAACCCTCGTTTCAGGTTGGGGTAAAAAGCAACCCCAGGGGGTCTACCCTGTGCCCAGGTTGGGGGAAGCAACGTCCAGGGATCTACCCCTGTCATGGTTGGTAGGAACAAGCATCCAGGGAGGTACTACCCTCGGCCCATGGATGGAAAAAGCAAGCATCCAGGGGGTACTACCCCCTTCAGGGTTGGAGCAACAACCACCTGAGATACTCCCTCGTGCAGGGTTGGTAGACAACAAACCATCCGGGGGGGAGGTACTACCCCGTTCAGGGTTGGGTAATTAAAAACCAAGGGGGGAGGTACTACCCTCCTTCATGGTTGGTAGAAAAACCATCCAGGGAGGTACTACCTCCTGTCATGGGTTGGTAGACAAAACCATCCTGGAGGTAATACCCCCCTGTCAGGGGTTTGGTAACAACAACCATCCAGGAAGTAATACCCCCTTCATGGTTTGGGTAGCAAAAACCCCTCCTGGGGTACTATCCTCCAGTCATGGTTGTAAAACAAAAACCCCCGGGGGAGGAATACCCTCCTGTCTGGTTGGTAACAACAACCTTTCCTGGAGGACTACCCTCCTGTCTGGTTGGAGAAAACACCCATCCGGAGGTATACTCTTCTTCATGGTTAGTAGACAACAACCTAGGAGGTAAACCCCCCCTGCAGGGTTGGTAATAACAACCATCCAGGGGGGTACACTCCCCCTGTCATGGTTGGAGACAACAACCATCCGGGGATACTACCCCCCGTCATGGTTGTAGACAACAACCATCCCGGGGGTACTACCCCCTGTCTGGTTGGAGACAACCACCAGGGGGTACTACCCCCTGTCATGGTTGTTAGACAACAACCACCAGGGGGTAAACCTCCTGTCATGGTTGTTAGACAACAACCACCAGGGGGGGACTCCCTCCTTCAGGGTTTG